TGCCACATTCCTCTTCATATAGCCCACCGTCCCAGATAATCTATTCTGCATATAGATTGAAAAGCTACAGAGATAGGACACATCCCTTATGATTATGAATCATGCAGTGATTCTTTGTTCTGTTCTGACAACTGCCTCCTAGTCCAAGTATAGGTTTTGCATAAGCATGATCAAGTGTTCTGGGATTTCTCCTTCTTAGAGTTAGCCACAGTTTGTTGTGATCCACACTAGGTAGAAAGTCAGGCCACCTCTGCTGTCTGTGTTGAAGCAAAGGATCCAGTTCTCATCTCCCTGGATCAGAGCTGACCCATTTTGATGCACCATGTCCAATGAAAGAAAAGGCAAGTCACCTCCTTCAGAAGGAGACACGTCACCTGTAAAGAAATTTAGCATGTAGGCATTCTCTTCTTAGCTCTGGACCATGTTGTTATTATTGTATACAATCAAATCAGAACTCACAGCTTACCCTCCAGCAGGTTTTCAGAGGCAATAAATTAATTTTTCTTCCGCAGAGCTACGTGAACCTGAACCATGTACTTTTGGGTTAACAACACAATTTTTTTACCACTAATCCACGGGAGCTCAGAGCTTCCTTGGAGGACATACGAAGTTTAAAACTGCTCCTCTCAAAATGCTTACAATTATGCTGAAAATGAAAAGGAAACACACACACACACACACACACAAACAGAGAAACACAATCTCATTTCTCAAGAAAAAACAAAATAAAATCTAGTTTTTCAAATTAAAAATTTAGCCTTCAGCCTTAATTCTTTTCTTTAGCCTATCCCCTATATTGACGTCATTCTACTTCCAAAATAGATCCAGATTCCATCTCTTATCTCCATCTCCAATCCTCCTACCTTGGTCTAAGTCACCTGCTGCAATTGGTCTCCTTTCTCTGAAGCGGTCCACTTTCCACAGCAGCCAGAGTGACATGACTAAACTTAATCATGTCATTTCTCTGCTTAAAACTTTAGATTTGTTTCCATGACATATTAAAACCCTATGATCTACAAGAAGCTGTATGCATTGGCACTTGGAAATCTTGAAAAAAAAATCCTTTTCTTCACTCAGTAAAAGTCCCTAGATGGTCCCGGTGGTTTGGACTTTATGAGGAGTGTGACGTCATGATTGGAGGAAGACTTATCAACAACCTGTGTTGTGTAGATGACTCAACCTTGCTTGCTGAAACTGAGGAGAACCTGAATCACTTGCTACAGAAGGTCAAGGACTGCTGCCTTCCATATGGGTTGAAGCTTAACATCAAGAAAACAAAGATGCTCAGCACTGGGCAAATTGGCAGCATCATGATGGATGGTGAAGAGATTGAGGTTATTAACAGATTTAACGTGCTTGACTCCACAATCAACACCGTTGGTACCAGCAGCCAGGAAAGTAAAAGACAAATTGTATTGGGAAAGTCAGCTGTCAAGGACCTCTCCAGAGTACTGAAGAGCAATGATATCAGTCTGGAGATATGGGTGCGCGTGATCCAGGCGATGGTTTTTCTTAATTAGTTGCTATATGTCAGAGAACTGGACAATAACTAAGGAGGATAGAAGAAGAATTGATGCCTTCGATTTGCATTGCTGGAAAAGAGTCTTGAACCATAGACTGCCAACAGTTCAGACTAACAGATCTGTCCTGGAGAGTGTGAATCCAAGCTGATCGCTGGAGGCAAGGATTTTGAAGCTCCATCTTACATACTTTGGCCATGTGACCAGGAAGGACCAGTCCTTGGAGAAGGACCTCATGTTTGGAAAGGGACAGTGCAGGAAAGGAAAACCCAGGATGAGATGGATTGACTCAGTGACTAGAGAAATGAGATTAAGTCTGTTGAAGATGATGAGATTGGCTGAGATAGGGCAAGGTTCAGAGTTAATGTACATAGGGTTGCTATATACATTACCTGTATGGCACATAACAACAACCAACCTTCCCAAGAAACCCTGATGGAGCAGTGGTTCAGTGGTTACAGTGTTTGGCCTCTAAGTGAAAGATTGATGGCTTGGATCCATTCCCTGCTCTACGAGAGAAAGACCTATCAGTCTGCTTCTGTAAAGATTACAGCTTTGGAAGTCCTAAGGGCTTCTGCTCTGTCCTTTAAATTTACTATGACTCAGAAATGACTCAGTGTCAATGGATTTAGTTTGGTTCAAATACATCCCACTCATTCAGTGGTGCCATGAAAGAAAAGGCTTAGCTATCCACTTTCTTGGAGCAATTCTCCTCTGTAACATGATGGCTTCATAGAATTGCCTAGATGGCAACAGGAGGGGTGTGTGTGTGTGTGTGTGTGTGTGTGTGAGAGAGAGAGAGAGAGAAAGAGAGAGATTGATATTAAATCCAGTCTTTGCTCATGTATTTTCTTCTTTCTTGGAAGCTTGTCTCCCACGTCTCTCCACCACTCCTTCTGTTTATTTAGTTCTTACATTAAAACTCGCCATCCCTGAGCACACTATCACCTTGTTTTGTTTTGTTTTTTTCCTGCATAACACTAGCCATTATTTTATTTGTTTATTTTTGTTGTCTGTGAGAATAAAGACCCCAAAAGCTTAGGAACTAGAATAATGTCTGGGGCTAATCAAATGTTCATCCAACACGCACTGAATGAATGAACAGGGGTTCAGACTGGACTCTGAATGTAGGCAACCTTCCAGGATGAGAGGATGAAGAGGACAAAGGTGTAAAGCAGGGAGCAAGCACAGCCTGTCCCAGGAGTGGCTGGCTCGGCTCCAGGTGGGCGGGGCCGTTATGGGGAAAGTGGCTGGAGATGCAGGCTGGGTCTAAGAGTGAAGTAACCTGAAGTTAGGTGGAATAATAAAGACTCCATCTTGCAGGGTAGTGAGAGGCTATTGAAGAAATTCTAGCTGAGAAGTGGCCTAATTAAAACTATATTTTGGAAGATTAACCCAGAGTCTGCCTGCTGCAGAATGGACTAAACCAGATTGAGCTGCATAATATGTGGGACCTGATGCAAAGTGAAAATGAGGGATCCCTTGTTTAAAAAATAAAGAAGCAATGCCACTAAACACTCTAACATACAAAAGTCTCCCCTTCCTCCCATGGTCCGTTTTCTCAGCGTGTAATGGTGTTTTTTATTTGCCATTTAATGCCTTACTAAATAAAGAACTCTGGTGGCTCAGGGGCACGGGATTGTGCTGCCAATTCAAAAGGCACTTGGTTCAAATCCACTGGCTGCTCCACAGAAGAAAGATGGCAGTATCTTCCTGTGTGATTTACTGCCTTTGAAAAACTCGCTGGATGGTCAGCTGTGAGTTGGTTCTGACTTGATGATACACAAAAACAACAACAACTAAAGAACTGTGATTGCTTCTTTCCACCTTTCATTGTATATAATTTCCAACATAAACTGTCGACTAATACAGAAAAGCATAAGAAAAGATAATATAAGGGATCTTGAATATCCATGTTTCTTGATTTGCCTTCTTTCTGTGTTCAGAGCAAAATCTGGTTCAATAAAAACGGTGGCCTCTCAGCTGTCAGCAGGCTCATTTTTCAGTTGTAGATGTAATGTGTTTACCTTGAACTTGCTTTGAGTCCTGCTGAACTCACAGACTTCTTGTGCTCACAGAGCATTGCAGACACTCAGCATATTGTTTATCTCTAGTCCTCACACGCATGCTCATTTGTCACATCGGACTTCTCTTAGAAAACTAAGACAGTAAGGGCAGAGCATTAAAAGGAGCACAGGCCAAACAGCACCAGCTACCCACCGGGGAGCCCAAAAGAGAGAAATTTTTCAGGACTCAGATGGAAGTCTCAATGTGAGCTACTGAGAGTCAAGGATTTATTGTGAAAGTTGAAAGAAGAAAGTCTTCCCCAAGGAATAGTGACAAGATTGAAGAGAGGTTAAACGGGAGAAAATGATTCTTAACTCAAAGCATGCAAAGACTCTTCTACCCTCTAGTAGATTGAGTCTCTTGAAGTCTGCGAAAACTCAGACCTTGGTCTCATGGATTCAGGACTTCAAGTGGTCCCTAATGTTTAATGTTTGTTGATCTAAATGGGTGCTCGAGGAGGGTCATTTGGACAATGTTAGGGTGGAGAACAGACAGAACACTCAAGCAGAGCTGGCTGCAGGGCCAGGGCCTCCCTCAGCACAATGCTGGCCCTGGGGATGTGGAAGTTTTCCCAAGAAAATCCTGAGAAGCCCAATGCCAGGAGGAGAGGAGCTGGAAAAGGTCCACTGTGGAGAGGATCAAGTGGTGGAAGGAGCCGTGCGCTGGAGGAGGTGGTGTTGGTGGGCTGGTAAGCCCTCCATCTCAGGGACCTGTTTCCAGCGGTTCTGTCTTCGTGTGTATCAGTCCCTAGTGCCTGCTCCGGCTTTTCTTCTGCATCCTGTCTGGTCTCTTAGCTCCCAGTCTGTCTTGGTCTCTGGCTCTTCTCTATTCCTTTCACTTTCTGCCCAGCCTGTCTCCTGGCCTCTAGCTGTATCTTTTCTCTTTCCAACTCCCTGCTTGGGGCCCCCTCTGTTGAGCTTACAATTGCTTCCTTCAGGGTTTCCGAGTCTTTTCTGGAGACATCTTTGCCTCCGCACAAACTTGCCTTCCACCTCCGCGTCCCAAACCTATGCCGTCCAGTAACTAGGGCGGGAGTAGAGGACCCGCCGCCTTGTCCCGAAGAGGCAACAGGGGGCGGGTCCAATAGCTCTCTCCCTATCTGCATATGTAGGAGGTAGCATGGGCCAGCCACGGGGAGGCGGGGCTACTGGGGTGGGAAGGGGGCGGGCACCCCAGAGCCGCGGAGTATAAAGACCGCCAGCCTCTGTCGTCGGCCCCGCACTGCTGAGGAGCGGAGCCTCCGCCTGGGGGGCCCCTATCTTTGGCTGTCTCTCATCTGCGCGTCCCTACCCCACCTCCGCGCCCGAACTGGTGCGGTGGTCTCCGCTCGGCGGAGAAGCCCCACTCCACAGCTCCACTACATCTCGGATTTCGGGGCGTCCCCCTCCCCCACCTTTCGCACCTCGCTTTTTTCTGCGTTTCGCTTGGGTTTTGTAACAAGCCGTCTATTTTTGCACCTCTTTACGCTCTGCTTCTAGGCGGTTTGGTGGTGAAGCCGCATCCGCACCTCCCGGCCCCTTTTCACCCTTCCCTGCTCTGACAGCCCTGGTTTCCATTGCAGTCGGGGGGCCTGCGGTCGGTGCATCCTCCGCTGCGCTGCCAGCACCCCGTAACGTGTGGCTCTACACCTCCGAATTCGCAGCAGCTGCAGATCAGAGGCGGGGGGTCTCCCTCGGCCCCGCCGCCTGTGCTCCGCGCGCGGTCTGGTGCGTGGGGGGCTTCAGTGCGCGGCACCCCCGCTTCTCCGCAGCCCCCCGCCTCGTACTCGCCCGGCGCTGCCAAGATGGTCATCCGGAAAGAGAAGAAGAGCTGCGGGCAGGTGGTTGAGGAGTGGAAGGAGTTCGTGTGGAATCCGAGGACGCACCAGTTTATGGGCCGCACTGGCAGCAGCTGGGGTACGCAGGGCAGGCGCGCGGGGTTCGGGGGGCACCGAGGCACGCCTGGTGGGCGCAGCGCTCGGCCAGGGAAGCCCCAGCGCCCCTCCCGGGTCCGGCGTCCGGCCCTCCTGCTGGGCTCCGGGCGGGGAGGGGGCCGATCACCAGCCTAATCTCCCTGGCTGGCCGCTGCGGAGGCGGAGAAAGTAGGTCACGGCCGCCTTCCCGCCCCCCGCGGAGCCCCCTCAGGCGGGGGGTCGCGGGCTGTGCGCGTGTCCTCGCCGTGGCGCTCGCGCTCCTCCTCTGGATCTGGGCGCTCCGCGCTCCCAGCGCGCCCCTTCCCTCCCCAGCTCCAGCCAGCTCGCTAACCCTTTCTATTTTTAGCTCGTGCCCACCCCCTGGACCTTGGGAACGTTCACGAGGGGGCGGGCCTTGAGAAGGTGGGGGGCGTCAGTGCTGAGGTGGGGGAATGATCACAGTTATCTATCTGGCACCGCTGAGTGTTGGGAGTCCCCTGTGGCTGCTCTGTGGGTGGGGGAACTGGTGAGGAGGGGGCCCTGGTCCGAAGCTGGCAGTTCCGCCTGGATCTTGGCGGTGGAGGGAGGAGTGATGACTGGTAGGGAGATATGCACATCATCTGGCGGGTGTGTCTGGAGTTGAGGTGATTCCTGCCTCAGAGCGTATCCACACACACACACACACACACACACACACACACACACACACACACCCCAAGGCGGAACCGAGGACATAAGGAGCGAATTTGTGTGTGGTGTGGGGTCTGAGGATGAGCAGCAATGCAGGGAGGGGAAGAATTCTTCCAAAACTACTTGTCAAATTTGGAAGTCAAAGCACAGGAGACACAGTGCGTCAGTTTACCGTTCGTATAACATTGACACTGTCCCCATCTGCTCCCCCTCCCTTGAATCTGATCCTAGTTCAGCCCCCCCACCCCCACCCCGAGATCCTAGAGATACAGAATGTTTGGAGCCTCTGAGGAAGTGGCTTCAGAGATGGAAGAGCTGGGCATGTGAGGAGTGAGAAGTGCAAACAGTAGTCACTTCCACCAGGTGTTGGGTTGATGGCAGCCAACAGCCATGCACAGGGACCTAACTAGGTCGGAGGAGGCCAATGGGAGATTCCAGAGCATTCCCTGACTCTCTGCTTGCTGGGTGCTGTGGGTGTTGGAGTGTGACTGGTGAAGGCCATGGCAGCTGTCACTCTCGTTTTTTATAGCCAGGCTGGAGTGTGAGGTCCTTCATTTCAGAAACTTTGGCTTCTGTGGGGGACCAGGAAAGAGAAGCTGTAGCTATTTGACTGTAAGGAAGGTCCAGACTCTGGTCAAGAGCTTGATTGTGAACAGGCCAGAGCTAGCACAAAAAGTCGTTGGAGTGGAACAGTTTTAAGCACAAGTACCAAGGTAGTGGCAGCAGATGTTGTGTCTATTTCAGGGCCACAGATGGTTGAGAAGTTGAGAATGTGATTTGAAGCAAAATTATTTCAGCTTACACTTGGAGTTGTCCCAGCAACGAGAGTTTAGGTCTCTTGTGGCCACAATACTCTTATGTTTCACGGTGTTCTAGGATCAGGAAGGGTCTGGGAATCCTGACTGGAAGTCAGACACAACTGCCTACTTCCAGCTTGTCTGACTTTGCTCCCAGGGGAAGGCTTGAAGATCTCTGATCTCCCAGAGCAAATTTTCTGAGGGGCTATCAGTGTGGGCGGGCATAAGTGAGGTCATGGTGGGAGACTTGAAGCCTGCTGACCCTGCTTCTTCCTTCCAGCCTTTATCCTCCTCTTCTACCTCGTCTTCTATGGCTTCCTCACAGCCATGTTCACACTCACCATGTGGGTGATGCTACAGACTGTTTCTGACCACACCCCCAAGTACCAGGACCGACTGGCCACACCGGGTGAGTGAGGAGGTATCCCTAGCACCCCCATGCTAACCATTGTCATGCTTCCCACACCTCCAGAAAGAATTCATAAGCTAAGAAAACTTGAAAGATGGTGTTTGGTTCTGATGCTCTAACTCAGTTTGTTTCTTGGACATTTTTTTTAATTCTTCCTTCCTTCCCAATTCCTCCAGCTGAAAGATGTGTTCTGGGCTGATGGCAGATGTTCACAGAAATCTTCATGAAGAGCTTGACCCCATCTCTCACCTTAATGTGCCCTATGTCCAACTTATTCTTTCTGTATGCGGTTCCTCATTTCACATATACCCTATGCCCCTGCCCTTGTGTAGGCTTGATGATACGCCCCAAGACTGAAAACCTTGATGTTACTGTCAACGTCAGTGATACCGAAAGCTGGGACCAGCATGTTCAGAAGCTTAACAAGTTCTTGGAGCGTGAGTGTGGGGAGTGTTCAGGATCTTGAATAGGGCCTGGGAGACCCTGCAGGCAGGCCATGAAGCCTCAACATTATCTCTCTCCTCCCCCACACCTCCATAGCTTACAATGACTCCATCCAAGCCCAAAAGAATGATGTCTGCCGCCCTGGACGCTATTATGAACAGCCTGATAATGGAGTCCTCAACTACCCTAAGCGGGCCTGCCAATTCAACCGGACCCAGCTGGGCGACTGCTCTGGCATCGGAGACCCCACTCATTACGGTTACAGCACTGGGCAGCCCTGTGTCTTCATCAAGATGAACCGGGTACCTACAACTTTGGTCCTCAGGCAGAGGAGGGGCGCTGGAGCCAACAGTTCTGTTGTTTCATTTCAAGGGGCTGATAAGGAGCCCCTGTGGTGGTGTGGTTATGCACTGGGCTGCTGACTAGGAGCTTGGTGGTCTGAACCCATCGGCTATTCTATAGAAGCAAACTGTGGCAACCCGCTCCAGTCAGCTTTTTCACTTTAGATACCCTCCAGGGCAGTGCTATCTGCCTTACAGGGTCATTATGAGTCAGAATCAACTCTGTGACAAAAGGTTGCATTTTTTTTTAATCAATTTGTACCATTATTCACTTTTTAAAAATTTATTTTATTTTTTAATGTGTGTGTGTGTGTGTGTGTGTGTGTGTGTCTTCAAATCAGTTCTGACTGGTACAGGAGGAGATTGTTCCTCCTT